AAGCCATCCCGGCAGAGCTAGGACCCACTCTCCTTCCTCGCGCACCTGAGCCTCGAGAGCTACGTCGAGGACCTGGGAGACTCCCCATCTCGTCCAGGAAGGGGTTCTACCGCCGGCCCGGGAACAGGCCTCGATGTTCTAGCCTTCTCAGGGCTGGCCGCCCTTCCCGCCCCCATTTCACCTCAGCTTGCTGGCTACCTCTCGGAGCCGGCGTTTCTCATCCGCCTCTTACCTCACGTCATTCGGATCCCGTCCGGTGAGCTTGCGAATATTCTCATCCACGTTCTTGAGGCTCTCTTTGGCCTTTTCTAGCTGCTCCTGCAAAGTTCTCACCGCGACCGCCATCTTCTCTCTGCAGCAGGCTTCGAGACTGCTCTACAGGCCGCGCCGGGCTGTGTCGCGCCGCGAGACGCGAGAGGACTGACAGCAGGGCCCAGCCAATGACTGTAGGCGTTGTTTTCCGGCCTCAACCACTCAGCATCCGGAAGGGGGAGAAGCTGCCGGCCTCCGTCCCCGGGCCAATGAGAAGTCTTCTAGGCGGTTGCCTCCCTCTCCAATTAGAAGCTGGTGGTGGGGCCCCACTTCTAGCGCAGAGCCGGGGCGCGTTTGAGAGTCCCTGGGTCCTCGAGGACGCCGGCTCGGGGGCCTGCTCTTGTGGCACGGAGCGCCGAGTTTTCCAGCTCGTTTAACTTGTGATATGACGTGCTCGCTCTGTATCGTTTTAACCACCTAATCACATAAGAGTGAGATGGAGGCGAGTCTATTTTACCCTCTTCCCTCCAAACGTTGAGATCAGGAAAGGGTGCGGCCGTTCTGTTGGTGCGCATGCCCAGAGAGGAGTTGGAAGGGTGGCGCAGGCGTCCCTTCATTGGGTTCAACCAAAATGAGCCGAGGGAAGCAAAAAATGAACATGATCAGCCACTAATCGTAATAGCTAACAATTTGTTCGATACTGTATGGAACATTTTACGTGTCTTGTCCTTCACACACCAAAAGCTTGAATAAGATGCGTGTTATTACCGATAAGGAAATTGGATCTAGAGATACTTTATCTCTAGGTCATGACAGAGAGATACTTTATCTCTAGGTCATGACAGCCAAGAATCACTGGTCGATCAGACCAACGAAGACACTGGAGGTATTCTCTACGCTTGGCCTATACAACTGGTTAGTTTAACATGGGGCCTGGAGTAGCGGCCCTGTCGTTAGTTGTGTGTGTAAGACTGTCTTCTAGCTCATGGTTCTGCTCTGTGTACCCGGCCAACATGAGAACCGTTTTGTTCCAGAAATACAGTTACAAATTACAGCTCAGAAAACATTTCCCTGAGAAACAGTGTTATAAGTTATCTTGGTTCTCATCGTCTATTAGCCGGGAATCAACCTTGCACCAAACGGTGGATAACAGTATTTAACTTTGGTTACCATTTTAATTTGTCGGTCTTTAAAAGCTCCTATTCTGCATCAGCAGTAATCCAGGCTCTTAGGATAAAACCTAGAACAAGATCGCTGTGGTTCCTGCTTATGCGGAGTTTGAAGGCAGGCTCTTGAGGGAACAAAAATCATTCATGTACTTATTCACTCATTCAATAAGTATTTGCTGAGCACTTACTAATGTGCCAGGCACTTTTCTAGGCATTTGGATCGTTTGCAAAAAGATCTTTGTCTTCAAGGAGATTGGATTACAAAACATGTAAATTAAGTAAATTACAAAACATGTTAGAAATGGACAAGTGCTGGGGCGCCTGGGTGGCTTAGTCGTAAGGTTAAGCGTCCGGTTAAGCGTCCGACTTTCGCTTAGGTCATGGACTCGCGGTTCGTGGGTTCGAGCCCCGCGTCGGGCTCTGTGCTGCCTGCCAGCTCAGAGCCTGAAGCCTGTTTCGGAGTCTGTGTCTCCCTCTCTCTCTCTGACCCTCCCCTGCTCACGCTGTCTCTCTCTTTCTCTCCTAGAAATAAAATAAAAATGTTAAAAAAAAAAAAAAAAGGGATGGTTACAAGAAAAGAAAAAAAAATGGACAAGTGCTATGGGGGGAAAAAGTAAAACTGGGTAAAAGGGATAAGAGTCGATAAATAGGAAATTAATTCTGATTATAAACATACTTATCTCAATGATCCCTACTACAAAGGTGTGTAATAGATTGAACATGAAGCCTGAGAATGTGGTAATAGTAGATGCTAACCACCAAATGTAAAATGTTTCCATGGGAAAATGCTTTTATTTTATTAAAAAAAAATTGTTTTGGGAGGGGGGAGAGTGCAAGCAGGGAAGGAACAGAGTCGAGGTGGGGAGGACAGAGGATCTGGAGCAGGCTCTGTACTGACAGCCGAGACCCAATGTGGGGCTCAAACTCAAGAGCTGTAAGATAGATATCATGACCTGAGCCTAAGTTGGATGCTCAACAGCTGAGCCGCCCAGGTGCCCCCATGAGAAAATGGTTGTAGAGGCAAACAAAACCATTTGATCTTTTCCTACTTCCATAGGACCTTTACTAGGATTCTGGACAGTTTAACACAGCTTTATAGAGGATAGTTGGTGGGGGGTTGTGTTCAATATTTAGTAGATGCTCAATAAATACTCGTTTTCCTCTCAATTTGAAAATCTTCTAAGAACCCCATGTTATTGTTTGAGAAGTCAACCTTAGTAAGTTGGTCAGTTGGCTACTTTTTGACCTCAAAAGTGGGCTTGGACCCCTTTTCTTTGATGATGGTGATGATGATGGGAGAATGCCGTCAGGACATAAAGGACCTGATTTCACATATGGGAAATATTAGTGCTGGAAAAAATAAGATTATGGTTGCAAAATAATCTTCAAATTTACACTACTATTGTTAAATAAGAAAAACTAAACAATAAATTTTAAAGATCAAATTAGCTTTATTAATTGATTCATGAGTTGGGCGGCATCCCATCTGGCAAGCAGAGGGGAGCTCCAAAAAGCTACAAAAAGGTAAAGATTTTTAGAAATAGGACCAGGAAATCATAAACAGACAAAAAGGATTATTTGAGGTTGGGTCACCTTCCTTTGGGGACAAAAAGGGCTTCTAAGGTGGATTATTACATCTATCTTTGGGGGTTAGAGAGGACCTCTGTGACAGGTTACCTTATTTGTGCTGACCAGAAAAATTCATAACCAACCAGTTAAGATTCCATTTCTGGTAGAGTTTAGAACTGCAAGTAGTTTAACTATTAAGCTCCAGTTTGGTGACAGGCCTAACATAAATTACTCCATTCTGGGCTTGTGGTTTTCTTGTTGAGTGTTTTCAAAGGCTTAGGCGGAATTTTTATGTAATGCTCTAAAAACTGAACCAGGTTACCTGGGTTGCTCAGTCAGTTGGGCTTCTGACTCAATCTCAGCTCAAGTCTTGATCTCAGGGTCCTGAGTTCAAGCCCTGTGATGGGGTCTGGACTGGGCATGAAGGCTACTTAAAAAAAAAAAAGTGAAAAGGGCATGTGGAAAAAAGAAAGAAAGAAAAAGGTACCATGATCCTAATTATGGAACTGAGGAGCCTAAAATTAAGTCCTCCATTAGAAACAACCTCGGGCTGCACGTAGTCCCAGTTCCAGGAAAAGCCTCTGCTGAATCTATACTCGGACAGCCCTCAGATCTGCCAATCAAAAGAAATGTGTAACATTCATGTAGTCTTGGAGATGAGTCAGGGCTGGGAACTGCAGGTAGTTACTTTGTACAAACTTGCCAATCAATCACGCTTGCAGGAGCCCCAGGTAGATTCTCTGAGCCCCCATCATAATTGGTCATTTTAAAAGACTCTCAAAGGTCATGATTGGGTCCCGCCAAATGTAACAGACGCCTTGCAGATACTGAATGGTCAAAACTGTTACTATGCTGTTACTATGGGCATTGTACAATTATGATTGGTGCCTTTGTAATGATGCAAAACATACAACGTGTGCACGGTAACACCCCCGGCCTTCCCCCCTAAAAACCCTGCTTGCCACTGTTCAGGGCTTCACTTTGCTGCCGCTATGCGGTTAGACAGGTGAGCCCCTGCTCCAGCTTGTAATAAAGACCCTTTTGTTCTTGCATTGGTGCCGGCTCCTTGGAGGTCTCTGGGGACTGGCGATTCGGGCATAACAGAACATGATCTTAAATTTCTATGACAGAATATGGAGAATTGAGAGATTATTGTTAACAACTTGAGGAAACTCAATGTTAATTTTGGGGAAACATTAATTGGGGGGAAATCTTCCTTGTGAATTTTGAAGTAAAAATCACTGCTAAGCAACACCTTTAAGCCAGAATTTGCCAAATTTAAGAGGTGCATATGATCTATGTATCATCTGTTTAGTAGTTAAATTCCACATCTGCAATAGATTCTTATGAACTACTTCCCACAGTGAGCTTGCTTTTCTTTTCTAAAAACATTTTTTCTTTTGAGAGACAGACGCGTAAGCTGAGGAGGGACAGGAGAGAGGCACAGAATCATCGGAAGCAGGCTCCAGGCTCTGAGCTGTCAATCTAGAGCCTGGAACCGCAAGATCATGACCTGAGCTGAAGTCCGACTAACCAACAGAGCCACCCAGGTGCCCCTGTATTTTATTTCAAGTACATCCTGGTCTTTGCTTACTTCATTCTCTTTGACCCTTATACCCCATTCCAGTAAACTTCCTTGTGGTCATAATGACTCTAAATCTTTTTGCATACCCAGGCTTAATCCACAATGGTTTGGGATAATTTCTCAATATATCTAAACTTTATAGCCTGAAAAAATGATTTATTCACTTTCTTTACAACTTTTCTCCCTATTGTGAAACATGTAGCAGAGATAAAAGCTTTTGATGAAGCTAATTCTTGTCAGTTCTAACACACAGCTAGTTAGTTAACACACAGATGGCAGCGGGAGGTCCTTTCGTCTTATTTTATGCGGTCCCCACCCCTCCCGCCTCTGATATCATCTGGAGGAGGAACCTTTATCCAATCTTCACGTGAGCAGTTCAGCCCGGAGAAGGAACTTGTGATCATAGAGCTGGCGGAATGCCGGGGTAGAGGGGACCGGAAGTTGATTTTCGCCCCCCGCCCAGGGGCCGGATAGGGTCTCGGCTGACTCCGTTTGGTTCCGGCTGCTGTCAGATTCCGTCGTTGGGCCTGAGGGCTTCTTGGCCCTGGTGGGGGGCTCGCCCCGGTTCCGGTGCCGGGCTCACTCTTGTACCAGCCTTGGGGAAGCGGAGCGAATTCCTGGTCTCCTAGCAACCAGGGACGGGCTGTGGACTGAAGGAGCTGCGGCGCCACAGTCCGTATCGCTCGGGCGCTAGCCGGAACTCTTGAGCCGGGCCGAAGCGGGAGCCGAAATCCTGGGTCTGGAAGAATAAGCAGGAAATGGCGGACGAGGCGTTGTTTTTGCTTCTACATAACGAGATGGTGTCTGGAGTGTACAAGTCCGCGGAGCAGGGGGAGGTGGTGAGTGCTGCCACAAGCCCTTGAGGTCCTTTCGCGGTGATACTTTTGGTTTCCTCTCAGTTCTTCAACCCCTGTACTATCGCCACCCCAAACCTCCCGAAGTGTAAACAAACTGGTCCACCTCCAAGTATCCTAAAACTAGAACCTGTCAGCTGTCGTCAGACTTTAATTCTCTTCTCTTTTGCACCTCCTGCTTGACACTTTTCTTTGGCCCACTGTCAGATCTGATTCCTGCAGGTCACAGAATGTCTTACTTTTAGCGTTGTCGCTAACATGATTTATGGCAGGGTTAATTGCAACACTGTTTTTGGCACCCCCTACTTAATTCTGTCACTTCCAGTACTACCACAGGACATACTTGAGAATCTCCCCCTACCCCATCTCCATAGTCCTCAGTATTGCATCACGCTTCTCGAAGACAGAAGGCTAATGAAATTCAGGACTGAAGCAAAGTTTGCAGGCATTACTGTAATTAGGAAACAAATTTAATTCAAAAAATTGTTATTTAGTGCCCTTATGTGTCAGAGGTGGTTTTGTGTGCTTAGAGTATAGTAATGAACGAAACAATGACTCCATTCTCCTGGAGGTTACCTCTAATATGTGGGAATCCTCATTCACTCATTGAATCATTTAAAAATGTTTATCAAGTGTGTATTGTGAGCCTGACACAGTGCTAAATAAGATCACAGTCATTGGGGGAATAGGGATTCAATGAATAATTAATGTATTGGGTAGTAATTAGGAATAGAATCATGGAGTTGTAATTAATATTAAGAAAGAGATATTCCAAAGTCATGCTCAAGTCAGAAGCCCTTTGTATAATGCTGTTGATAAAGAGGGGTGGAAAGTGGCCAAAGAAAGGCACAGGTGTATTAAAGAGTGTGGTGTACTTAAATATGCATAAATATTTCACTGTGACTAGACTGAACGATTGAAGAGTGAAAAGTGTTTAAACAGCTGAAATTGGAAAGAGTCCTGTATAATTAAAAAATTTGATCTTCTCAGTGGAGAATTTTTAAAGAGGGCAATGACATTGTCCATTTGCATTTTAGAAAGATAATCCAGTGTTTAGGTTAGAGAGAGATCTTTGTAGTAAGAAGAGTTGTTAATTCAGGAGTCCAGGCAGGAGATGATGAAGATCTGAATTAAGACTGAAGCTGAGAGAATGGTTTGTAAAATAGGAGGTAGAATCTCAAGGACTCAGTTAAGTATAGGAGTGAGAGCTCAGCATGGAGCCTGCTTGGGATTCTCTCTCTCCCTCTGCCCCTCTCCTCTGCTCGTGCTGTCTCTCAAAATAATAATAATAAATGATAAAATGTTGGGTTGTTGAGTTCAAGCTCTGTGGATCTGTGCTGGTTGTGAAGCCAAATAAATAAGTAAATAACTATACAAACACTTTAAAAATAAATAAACTAATAATACCTTTCTTTTCTTATTGTATTTTATTTATAATGGGGAATTGGAAGTGCATATAAGCCAAAAGGATTTTAAAAAGTTAGGTGGCAGAGGTGCCTGGCTGGCTCAGTCTGTAGAGCGTGCAATTCCTAATCTCAAGCTCTTGAGTTCAAACTTGGGCATGGAGCCTGGTTTAAAAAAAAAAAAAAAAATTTAGGTGGCTGTGATGATTAGAGTCCATGTTGGAATCTAGGCATATGCGGGTTCATTGTGTTACTGTCTCTTGTTTTGAGTGTATTTCAGATTTTTCATATGCAGAAGAAAGACACATAATCCTGATATTAAGCAGTAGTTTTTATATACCTTTTCAGAGTTCAGAAGTTCAAAACCTCATTAAGTTTTGAAGTGAAATAAAGGGGGGTGCCTGACTGGCTCAGTTGGTGGAGCATGTGGCTCTTGACATCTGGGTTGCGAGTTCGAGCCCCACATTGGGTGTAGAGATTGCTTAAATAAACAAAATAGATGAATTTTGAAGTGAAATAAAGGAAAGAACCAGTGTTTTTACCCTCCAAATCAATGATTTTCAAACTATACTTGGAGAGGAATTAAGTTTTTTAAAACTGAGTAATTGGAGATATACCAATTTATGGAGAATAGATTTTTTAAAAGGTTAATAGATAAAATATTCTCAAGTTTAATTTTCTTTAAAAATTTGGTACTCTAGTACGCATTCACAGATGCCAAAGTGAATGAACAAGTAGCAATATCAAAGGTATTTAGTAGGGCATAATTCAAAAGCTTATGTGATCAAAGTATTTGAGCATGTCTGCATAAACATAGTTCCTGCTAATCAACATATTCCTGGGTGATTCTACAAAACATCAGATTGTTCCACAAAACTTACAGGTTACTTATTCTACCTCAGCATGCTTGTTTGTTTGTTTTCACGTGAGCATGTTTTGAAATGAGTTGGAGAATAACAAAAACGAATGTTTGTGACAGTAGTTTTGTGCAGAATGTTATGACAGCACAGGGCCCAAAGGAGTGTCAAGGCAGACTTTTAGGAGGATGTGATATTTGAGCTGAACTCAAAGGATATAGAGTCTGTGGAACAGCATGTGCTAAGGCATGGGGGCAGTAGAACGCTTAGAACTCTGGAGTTGCTGCAGAAATTTCAGAGTGGAAGAAGGAGAGATGTTTGTGGATATGTGACTGTTAGTAACTCTAGTTAACTAGACAGGATCATTTAAGGAAAGGCACATAATGCCATGCTAAGGAGTTTGAACTTTATTTTGAAGACAGAGGAGAGAGTGCTAAACAGTTCAGTAGAGAAATAACATGATTTGTTTTTTAGAAAGTCTGTACCAGAAATATAGGACATAAATCAAAGGAAGGAAAAACTAGAGACAAGGAGATAATTGGGAAAGCACTAACTGGAAACCAGGAGGAAAAAGTGAAGGGCTAACTTAAGGTCGTAAGGATAGAGAGAGAAGATGGATTTTGAAAGCATGCAGATGATAGGCTCCACAGGACTGCAATTCATGTGAAGGGTTGAGAATAAATAGGTAAAGTAAATGGCAGTTTTCTGGTTGGGGTAACTAGGTGAATAGTGGTTCTGTTAATGAAGTTAGGAAATTTTAGAGGCAGCGCAGAGGACATTAAAATAATATCATTTTGAATATGCCTTATTTGATGGAGCTGTGGGACCTCTAGATGGCTGTATCTCATTAAGTCTGTAATATAAAAGTACAGATTTAGTTGTCACAATCTCATTAGTAGAGTACATCATTCCTTAGAATAAACTTTAACAAATAATGAGGCCTATGGTGTACTTCTCAGTGGAAACAAGCTCCAGATTATACAAATATCCTTGCCTGTCTTGGAGCTGTATTCTTGAGGGTGGGGATGGAGGGAAATGGACATTGTGAAATTAGTAAAATATATAGTATGTTAAAAGGTGAAAGAAGTTCTTTGGAGATAAATTAAGCAGGGAAAAGGGATAGGACATCAGAATCACCTACGTGGGGCTGAAACTCACAACCCTGAGATCAAGAGACACATGCTTTACCCACTGAGCCAGCCAGGCACCCCACTTTTAGAGGGCTTTTTAAAACATAGATTACTGACCCAACACCTACAGTTTCTGATTCAATAAATTAGGTTTCAGAATTTACAGCTTTTGTAAGTTCCTATGTGATGCTAATGTTGCTGGTCTTGGGGCATGCTTTGAGAATCATCAGAATAGAGAATTTCTGAAGGGGAATAATGTAGTTTTAAAGAAGATAGTAAAAATGAGCCTCAATGATGTGGGTGGGTGGGAGGATGGGTGATTATATTGTACACCTGAAAAAAAAGAGGGGGAAATGGGCCTTACTGAGATGATGACATGTGAGTGAAGACTTGAAGCAAGGGAATTGGTCATGTGGATATCTGGAAGAAGAGTTCCTATGCAGGAGCCCTGAGATTGGAGCATGCCTGGCATATTCAAGGACAGTAAGAACAATGTAGCTAGAGCCCATGTGAGTGAAAAAGAGTAGAAGGTTGAGACCTGAGGGGTAGAGAAATCTGGATTCTATAGAGCTTTGTAGCTGATCCAGAGGATTTTGAGAGTCTTCAGCATAGGGTAGTATTTAAAGTCTGAAGACTAGATGAGATTGTCAAAGAAAAAACCAAAGCAATTTCATGATTTCTGGCGTAAGGTGGTAGGATCATCAACTAAGACACACTGAGAACTGGAAAGCTTGGGTGGCTCTAAGAGACATTTTGAAGCCAGAACAGTAGAATTTAATGACCACCCAAAGGGAACGACTGATAGAAAGGTGATACTTTGACTTCATTTTTATAACTGAGGAGAGAAGACTAGTTGAAAATGGAAAAAGAAAACTGTAGAGAGAGTAAGTAGGCAGAGGCTTTGGCATTTCTGAAAAGTAGTAACAGTTCCCTGTTTACCTTACTGCCTTATGAAATGATTAGTACTAAGAAAACTGAAATATAACTTCTAATTCACTTTTTCTTAAAATATTTCAAAAACAGTATAAATGCATTTATATTTTTAGTCAACACCATAAAACAGTTTTTGAATGCTAAAATTCTGGCATTCTAAAAATATTCAAAACAATTATTTTTTAAAATAGGAAAATGGACGCTGTATTACTAAGCTGGAAAACATGGGGTTTCGAGTGGGACAAGGATTGATAGAAAGGTGAGCAGTATGGATTTGAAAATTTTCTTCCAGGTAGGTTATAAACAAAGATGATCCATTTCAAAAGATTGCATAAAATTTGAAATACTTTAATTTTAATTTCTAAATTTTATTCTCTGTTCTTTAACTCACAGATTGAAATTTCTCTTTAGTTCTGATGCCATTTTAACTCAGATAAAACTTTTAATATCTGAAGAAAAGATATATTTGTATTTTAGACTTTTTTCCTAAAAACTTTGGTGTACTGAAACAACTGTGTAAATCTTGTTGCATTTTTGGGGTGCCTAGGTGACTCAGTTGGTTGAACGTCTGACTGTTGATTTTGGCTCAGGTTGTGATCTCACAGTTTGTGGGTGTAAGCCCCACATTGGGTGATGGACTGACAGCATGGAGCCTGCTTAAGATTCTCTCTCCCTCTCTCTCTGCCCCTCCCCTGCTTGCTCTCTCAAAAATAAACATTTTTTAAAAAGCTTATTAAAATAATAAAATCTTGTTGCATTTTCTACTTAAGGTCTAGTAGGTTCTTTAACCTAAATGGCTTTCTGTTTAAATCCAAAGGATGGAAATTCTTTAGAGTTTATGTTAATGTATGTACTAATTTTCCAGTTTATAGAGCAAGTCTTAAGGTCTTATTCCTTTCTCATTATTTGAATAGGTGAACTGTGGTTATGTTTTATATAACAATACCATGATTATGCTCAGCTTTTTTTTTGTGTGCTAGAATTAATTTTACTTAAAATTGAAGCTTACTATTAGACTAATCTTAGCACCATAATTACATAACAGGATATAAATTGAAATGAGATGTCCTTTGCTTGGTGCTTATCGCTTTATGACTGTCAATAGATGTTCAGTGCTGTTCTGGCATTTCAAAATTAGTGAGTAATGTGACCCTCCTGCTTTCTTTGGAGGAAAAATACTGATTACTTTTAGTTGATGTTTTTAGGTTTACAAAAGATACTGCAAGGTTCAAGGATGAATTAGATATCATGAAGTTCATTTGTAAAGATTTTTGGACTACAGTATTCAAGAAACAAATCGACAATTTAAGGACAAATCATCAGGTATTTAGACAAATTATGGACTATTTTTTAAAAACCTTTGACTTAATATAAATGTTCTATTTTAGTTATTTATTACAAAAAAAAACCTTAAAATAAAACATGTTTCTCTTACATGTTATTAATACATCATGACTTTTTTTCTCTAATAGGATACTGTGAATAAGAACAAACAGATAATTATCAGTAACGATATTTCTTTCCCCCAATTAAATAAGTGATCTGACATTTTTAAAAAGTAGCAGAATGTCAGGATGATAAAGGTTTTAGGATTTGGTTCCTTAGTTATTATTACTTAATGATGATTATATGCAGAACCACAAATATATCACATTTGTCTTTAGAGTAATTTCGGATGTCTAATTTATAGGACATATTGAACTCTTAAGTAACTCTTGCATTATTTGTTGCTGTCATTTTTCTATTCTTAAAATAATTTCTTAAATAAAATGTAATAGATTGTGTGGAAAATTATACATTTAAATAGATTTATTTTATAAAATTCAAGGAAATATTTTAGAGTGGATTTTGATTAAATATTAGAAAATGAAAATAATGTATCTAGTAGTTGCTAGTACTTTTCATTTTTTCATATAACAATATCAATCTTACCTTGTAAGTATTGAAATGCTAATGAGAGGAAGTGACTCTGGTAATTGACCTTCTAGATATGAGCTAATAATATATAACTTAATTCCACCTGGACATGGATTTCTGATTCCTTTGAGTTCTTTAAGGGTAGGAACTATCTTTTACATCTTTGTATCTATAGTATCTTAAAGCTTTCAATAAGTATTAGTTTTACAAAGTTCTCAACAATTCTTAAGCCTACACACTGCAAAACCTCCTTCATTTAAAGAAATTTGACCAGTGGAAAGGAGAGTGTTAATAACTTAAAAAGACCTCTTAAATTGTCTTGAAGAGAAAATTTTTAAGGACTACAGAATACATGGACTCTGGATGTTTTTTCTGTTTTTGAAACAGGGCATCTATGTACTTCAGGACAACAAATTTCGTCTGCTTACTCAGATGTCTGCAGGAAAACAGTATTTAGAACATGCATCTAAGGTATTTAATGGAATAGAAGATTGGGATTTTCATAGGGAAGATACATTGCCAACCACAACAGAGTTTTGAATTTCAGATAGGTTTTAAAGTGCTTTGTTTGAGGGGCGCCTGGGTGACTTAGTTGGTTAAGCGTCCGACTTTCGCTTAGGTCATGATCTCGTGGTTCGTGGGTTCGACCCCCGCATCGGGCTGTGTGCTGACTGCCAGCTCAGAGCCTGGAGCCTGTTTCAGAGTCTGTGACTCCCTCTCTCTCTGACCCTCCCCTGCTCACGCTGTTTCTCTCTCTCCTAGAAAAAAAAAAAAAAACATTAAAAAAAAGATAAAGTGCTTTGTTTGAGTGCTTGTCTATGAAATAGGAGACAGGTGTTCATCCTACTAAAATAATTTGTATTGACCGACAGCTGAGTAGGCTTATGATGACTAAGTAAACACTATAATAAAATGCCATTGAAATGTAGATTAATGTTAGATTATTGAATTTAGCATGGATATATCAGAAAAGATAGTCAAGCTTATAAAACTGGGATTAGCTGTGCAAAATTACTCACCTGAGTTTATATGTATAATATCCTTGGATAATTTATTTTTTAGTTACTGTTCTTGTCTGGCTTTCTGTGCAATACCTTAGCCCCATTTCCTTTTTTTGTTTCCATATAACAGAGTTTCCACGTTAGTACTGTTGAGATTCTGAATGGGATAATTCTTTGTTATAGCAGGTTGGCTGTAAGTCTTGAACAAATCAAGATTCTTGGTTGTAGAAAGCAGACGCCAACTCTGATTCAATAGGGGGCAAAAAACTTAATGGAATTGATGGGAAGGCTCAGAAGGCAGGCACAAATTGTAGAAGGTTAGAGCCGCCAGGAAGACAGCCCAAGTCGCTCCTCAGACAGGGTCTAGTTAGAGTCCTTTGCACTAACAGACACAAGCCACGTTTGCTGCCTTTGGAACTAATTGTAATCTGTTTCCAGCTTGTTTTTTTACTCATTCTAGACTCAGAGTCCCTGACTGGAGCACCCAAGTCATGTGTCCATGGTTTAGTTGCCAAGAAGTTGGGAACTTGTTTTAACAAGTTACATAATTTTCAATAATTTAAAAATTTCTTCCACAGCCTTTTTAAAAACAGCAATGACTTATTAATAGCAAGTCTTGACTAAATGTCATATTTATCAATAGCATTGCTTTCTTAGTAAAATCCTTAATATTCTTTACATTTTTGTTCCTTTCAGTATTTGGCATTTACATGTGGCTTAATCAGAGGTGGCTTATCGAACTTGGGGATAAAAAGTATTGTAACAGCTGAAGTGTCTTCAATGCCTGCCTGTAAGTTGAATTCACATTTCTTAAATGTGATTATTTTTAGTGATTATTATTCAAGTCTAGTTTTTTTGTTTGTTTTTGTTAACTTAGAGGAAATTTAAAATGCTAAAACCATTTTTGTTTTACTTTTATCAGTTTTAACATTTAATGTAGTAATATGTAGCATCCCTATATTCATATTCAAAGATTTTTAAGTTCATAATGGTAATGATTTAAGAAAGTAGGCTAAAGTAGCCCAAAATTTATAAGACAGCTTAAGTGATGATTGTTAAAGGAAAAATTTCTGCATTATTCTTTTCAGATAGCAGATTTCCCTATAGCATTGAAAATGTCTTTTTTAAAAACAGTTTTCTACGGGCACCTGGGTGGCTCAGTCAGTTAAGCATCCGACTTTGGCTCAGGTCATGATCTCCTGGTTCATGAGTTCAAGCCCTACATTAGGCTCTCTGCTGTCAGCCTGGGTCCTCTGTCCTTGTCTCTCTGCTCCTCCTCTGCTCATGCTCTCTCTCTCAAAAATAACATAAAAAAAGTTTTTTAGAATACATCTATTATATATAAAGCCAACTAGTCTTTTATTGCTAAACTCCTTTTCAAAGATGTTTTCACCAGACTTATCAACCAAGTATAAACTTGAGCATTACTGTATTTCCTTTTTATTCACAATGATAATTAGCAGTGAAATACCCAAAAGGTAGGAATCACAAAGAGGAGAAGCAAAGACACCTACCTATTCACAAAAAATCATCTCATAAAAATGAAATTGACCGGAGTGCCTGGGTGGCTCAGTCGGTTGAGCATCCGACTTCGGCTCAGGACATGATCTTTCTCTCAAAAATAAATAAAACATTAAAAATTTTTTTAAAAAATATTAAATTGACCTTACTGAGTATTGTGAAAAGTTGTTTGAGATAGCAGATTTCTTCACTGAAACTACTCTTTTTTTTTTTTTTTTAATGTTTTATTTCTGACACAGAGAGAGAGAGAGAGAGTGAGAGAGAGAGAGACAGTGAGAGACAGCCTGAGCAGGGTAGGGTCAGAGAGAGAGAGACACACAGAACCTGAAGCAGACTCCAGGCTGTGAGCTAGCTGTCAGCACAGATCCCAACGTGGGGCTCGAGCCCACAAACTGTGAGATCATGACCTGAGCCGAAGTCGGACGCTTAACCGACTGAGCCACCCAGGCGCCCCAAAACTACTTTCTGATAGAATAAAAAATTGGTGTTTAGGCTTGTTTTCTTTGTACCTAAAATCAAGGAATGATTTTTCATTTTTCTTTTTTTAGGTAAATTTCAGGTGATGATACAGAAGCTATAAAACATACTGAAATGCAAGGCAAGGCTTCAACAAGTGTAAAGAGATAAATTATTCATGTATAAAGTATTTCAAGTAGCAGTGATTTAATTACATTGTTGGATATTTGTATTGATATAAGCTATTTGCTAACTTCTGTAATGAAAGATACACTCTTAACCAGGAGTTAGGTTGCATTTATTAATTTAACCAGACCACATTAAAACAGATAAAAACACATTCTACAATAACAGATTTTAGTGAAACTATTCAGAACGAAAATCTGATTTCAAATAACTAAACCCCAAGATGTAGAACCCTTATTTTAAACCTTCATATTTGCTTAGAGTGGTATGTATTTAACCACAGATAGAAAAGCAAAACTCAGGGTTTGATAAATTAGCATTAAGAAAAGTATGCATCAAGGGTGCCTGGGTGGCTCAGTTGGTTAAGTGTCTGACTTTGGCTCAGGCCATGATCTCGTGGTTCGTGACAGCTCGGAGCTTGAAGCCTGCTTCGGCTTCTGTGTTTCCCTCTCTATCTGCCCCTCCTCCACTTGATCACATGTGCGTACTCACTCTCTCCCTCAAAAATATAAATAAAACATTATTAAAATTTTTTAATTAAAAAAAGTATGTATCAATCAATCAATCATTTCTGTAAAGATGGCCAAGTTTTGGTTTTGCTTTATGAATTTATTTTAGTTATTTAAGAAAAGCAAACAGTACACTAAATTAAACATTTTTTATTTTATTATAATTTATTTCTATTAAGAATTTTTATGCCTGTGAAAATTTTATTATATACATTGTGTATTATGTGTGATATATATATATATATATCATATCTAACCACCAAAATTGCTCAAAAAGTTCGTTATACTTTAATAGAATTTAGTCCTTAATTTTACTTTAATAGAATTCAGTCCTTGAGAACCCCATTAATGTAATTAAATATAGATTAGTTTAAGTGTGAATTCTGTGACTCCAGGGCCAAAAATATTAGACATTTTAGGAAGGAATTTTATACCTACTCCTGTTACAGTCTTGACTTTCAACTTTTTCCCCCATGAGTGGAAGGATTGGTGAAAGTTCTAACATCATTTTTATTCCCTAATTACTATTTCCCAAGAGCAGACGGGTGGATAATTGGCTTAGCCACACCAACATTCATTGGACAACGTCTATTCAATGGGCTAGGTCAGTGTTCATCTAGTATATCTGTCATCTCAGTCTTCCATCTGATAACCAAGAGAAGACAAGCATGAAGATGAAAGTCATCACACTGAGGATAGCAGGGGCACCGATAGAAGGCACCTTTATTGTGCTTCTGAATTAACCAATCCTGGAACTGCTTTACCTTTAGACTTTTTGTTACATGGGATAATAAATTCCTTATACTGTTCAATCCACTTTTGGTTCTGTATTTTGTTACTTGTAGTCAAAAAGAAGTCTCTTATAGCTGAGGCAAGGAGAGAGTTAGGATATACAAGAAATAATATGGGAGAATTGAATTTCTTTTTCTCAGGAGGATAGGGAAGAGAACTTAAAGGTCTACATGTAAAATGATAAAATCAGAAAGTGCTAAAGAAGATATAAGATTAGTTTTATCATTTTGTAGTAGAGAAGGCCTTTTCAAAAAATATACAATGTTGTTATAAAGGAAAATGGAAAAAAAATTTAATAACCTCTTCAACAAATGCTACTAGGAAAATTGGATATCCACACGCAAGAGAATGAAATTGAATCCTTACTTTATACCATACATAAAAATTTACTCAAAGTGGATTATAGACTGATACTTAGGACCTGAAACTATAAAATTCCTAGAAGAAATCAGAGGAGAAGCTTCATAATGTTGGTCTTGGCAATATTTTCTTGGATTTGACATGAAAAACAGGCAACAAAAGCAAAAATAGACGAACTATATCAAATTTAAAAGCTGCTATACAGCAAAGGAAACAACAGAGTGAAAAGGTAGCCTATGGAATGGGAAAAATATTTGCAAACCATGTATTATTAAGGGGTTAATACTTAAATATATAAGGAATTCTTACAGCTCAATAGCAAAAAAATAACCCAATTAAACAATGGACAAAGGATTTAAACATATTTCTCAAAAGAAGATACACATAAGGCCAACAGGTATATGAAGAGATGTTCAGTATCAGTAATCATCAGTGCAAATTGAAACCATAATATCACCTCACACCTTTTAGGATGGCATTATCCAAAAAAAAATTTTTTTTGGCAAGGATGTGGAGAATTGAGAACTCTTGTGCCCTGTTAGTGGGAATGTAAAATGATACAGCTCCTATGGAAAATACTATGGAAGTTTCATTAAAAACTAAAACTGGAACTGCTATATGATGCAGAGATCCCCCTTGTATTTATTCAGAAGAATTGAAATCAGGATCTTGAAGAGAGATTTGAACTCTCCGGTCTGTTGAATTATTCACAATAGCCAAGAGGTAGAAACAACTTGCCCTTTAACAGATGAATGGATAAAGAAAATATGGTATATACTTTCAGTGGAATACTATTCAGCCTTAACCAAAAGAAGGTCCTGTCATATGCCAGCATAGATGAACCTTAATGACATGCTAAGTGAAATAAGCCAGTCACAGAATGAGACACACACACACACAAGCATGGTATCACTTTTATAAAGTACCCAAAGTAGTCAGATTCCTAGAAGCAGAAAGTAGAATGTTGACAGGGCTGGGGAAAGGGAAATTAGGAGTTGTCCAAAGAGTACAGAATTTCAGTTCCATGCAGGATAAAAAACTTCTAGAGATCTGTATTACAATGTGCATATAGTTAACAATACTGTAGAGAGGAATTTAAGAATGTAGATTTCATGTTAATGTTTTTTTCTTGTTTGTTTTTTTTACCACAAACACCTGTTGACAAAATTTGTTTAAACTATTTGCATGGCAGAAAACACTAAACACTATTGGGGAGCCTGGGTGGCTCAGTCAGTTAAGCGTCTGACTTCAGCTCAGGTCATGATCACACGGTTTGTGAGTTCGAGCCCCGCGTCAGGCTCTGTGCTGACGGTTAGCTCAGAGCCTGAAGCCTGCTTCAGATTCTGTATCCCCTCTCTCTCTGACCCTCCCCTGCTTACACTATCTCTCTCTCTCTCTCTCAGAAATAAATAAAACATTTTTAAAAATTCAATTTAAAAAAATTAAGAAAGAAAATACTATTAAAATGTTAAAATAGGGAAAAATATATATAGTACATACCACATTTGCCTTAAGTGGGTATCTGCACTTTAAAAGAGCACATCAGTAGGGCACCTGGGTGGCTCAGTTGTCAAGTGTCCAACTTTCGCTCAGGTGGTATCTCCCAGTTCCTGAGTTCGAGCCCCACAGTGGATTCTGTGCTGACAGCTCAGAGCCTGGAGCCTGCTTCAGATTCTGTGTCTCTCTCGCTCTGCCCCTCCCCTCCTTGTGCTCGTGTCTCTCTCTCAAAAATAAGAACACATCAATTTAAAACATGGATATTCTTTAATGCAGCACAATTCCATTTCTATAAATTTAACCTAAGAAAATAAATGAGGATAAAGATAGTCAAAGAGTACAATCTTGTTACAAGATGAGTAAGTTCTAGGGATGTAATGTACGACATGGTGACTATAGTTAACAATATTGTATATTTAAAAGTTGACGGGTATGCCTAGGTGGCTTAGTTGCTTAAGCATCTGACTCTTGATCTCAGCTCAGGTCTTCATCTCAGGGTCATGAGTTCAAGCCCTGCACTGAGCTTTGTACTGAGCATGAAGACTACTTTAAAAAAAGAGAAGAAAAGTTTCTAAGAGAATAAATCTTAAGAGTTCTCACCACACACACATTTTGTTAACTGAGGTTGTGGATGTGTTCACTATTGTAATCATTTCGTAACATACATGCATATTAGTCTAGCACACCATACACCTTAAACTTAAAAGACAGTGTTAAATGTCATATATCAAGCTGGGAAAAATGAGTATGCAAGCTTGTATGTATAAGGATTTTCACTAAGTGTTCATTTTTTTAAATGTGTTATTTTTGCAAGAGTGCAAGCAGGGGTGGGGGCAGAGTGGGACAGAGGATCTGAAGTGGGCATCACGCTGACAGCAGCGAGCCCAACATAGGGCTCAACCCCATGAACCATGAGATCATGACCTGAGCCAAAGTTGGATGCTCAACCAGTTAAGCCACCCAAGCGCCCCTAGTTAAGTGTGCTGCTGGTAAAAGGGATGAACTAGATCTACATATATTTACATAAATAGAATGTTAATTGGTTTTAAAAGAGGTTTGTTACAGGATACTGCATATGTAATGCATAAATATATATGATTATAAGCGTACTATCAAAAAGACTGGAACGTTACAAGTAGATTGTACGGGAGATGGAGATTTTTTGCTTTTAGCTTTAAATTATTTGGGTTTTGAAGTAATCATCCCCACAATCCCTAAGTCAGGAGGGCTACCTAGCAGAGGTCTTGGGTTAGGAAGAAAGACATTATGGAGGGTGCCATCTGGAGAGAGGATTTAATGTACATCAAGATGCCCAGTGCCACAGAGAAGAGATTGTTTACTATGTGGAAGTGAAGCCAGTGATACAGATCAGCAAGTATTTAAGCCATTTGTATGGAGGAGCCATGTAAGCCATTGTTTTCTCTTTCAAAAGCGGGAATCCGTGGGTTATCGGCTATAGATCTAGTGGAAAGAATACTTCTCCACTCTCAGCCAAAGTTGTATTGAGCTTCATTCAAACTGCCCCTTTAGGATAACAACCTTCTTTGAAGTTCTTTATTTTATCTGTCTATCTATCTATCTATCTTTCTATCTATCATCTATCTTTTGAGACATAGCACAGTGGGGGAGGGGCAAAAGGAGAGAGAGAGGCAGGTTCCACATTCACTGTGAACCCAAGGCGGACCCTAGTTCTAAGACTGAGATCATGACATAGCTGAAGTTAAGAGTCAGACACTTAAACGCCTGAGCCACCCAGGTGGACTTCAAAATATTTTAAGAATGTGATATAGGGGTGCGTGGATGGCTCAGTCACTTAAGTGTCCAACTTTGGCTTAGGTCATGATCTCACAGTTTGAGGGTTAGAGCCTCACATCGGACTCTGTGCTGACAGCTCAGAGCCTGAGCCTGAGCCTGCTTCAGATTCTGTGTCTCCCTCTCTATCTGCCCCTCCCCTGCTTGTACTTTTTTTCTCTCTCTCTTTCTAAAATAAACATTAAAAAATATGATATATATGCTTTATATTAAACAAGGCAATAATTTAAAATAGAGGCAAGGGGTGCCTAGCTGGCTTAGTCAGAAGAGCATGTTATTCTTGATTGTGTTTGACCCCATGTTGGGTGTAGAGATCACCAAAAATAAACAAACAAAAAACTTAAAAAGAAATATATACATAAGCAAGTTAAAATATTTTTTATATGAAGACATCAGAATGACAGCCGTTGTTTAGCTTGCCTAAGAACCTGTGGGGTGTTCTATAAACTGAAGTAGTCTTGTGGCTCAGTTTCTTCCACTTATAGGTCAGTCATACCTAGGTAATACTGAAAAGTAATTCAGAATCTGTGTCACCAATGTGAGAACACACAACTGCAATGTTTGGTGTCAGCACTGGAAGCTATAGACAGGAAATCTGCAATCACACATGATCTAGAGGTAGGTTTTATAACTACTGTATTCTGAACATCCATCTGTGAATATCCAGAAACACCTGCAACTACAATTTGATATGAAAACATCTAGGACTTCTGATGCTAACAAAGTCACCGGCATTGATGAATGCTACTACGGTTTGTTGCCTATATTTATAACTGAAGGAAATGCTAAGTAAAAGGAGTCTAGTAAAAATAGAGATGTAATTTTTTTCCCATTCAAGTTCATGGACTCCAGGTTAGAAACCTGTGAAAAGGGATAAAATCATAAGATTGGTGTAAACCTTGAGATAATCTGTGTAAATTGCACAGTGCCTGTTGTGTGTACATATGGAAATAAAGAATAAAAATATCACAGGGACTGTTCTGGTTTATAAGCCTTTTGTAATTAGAAAGATTAGATTTCAAAGTCCTTTTGCATGACTTCATCTTAATTAGAGTCATCAAGGGTCCTTACTGAGTAGCATACCTGTTTTAAGAGCAGAAAGTAGAGAAGTATGCTGTATGAATGACAAAATATGAGGACAGCACAAACTGTTTAGTCAGTGGCTTCTACTAACTGTAATGACAGCTTGATCCCTTGTGTCTAGCAATCAAACCTTGTAAGAGGATTTAGGACTGGAGATGTCATCAGAACTTTAGTCCATTTGGACTACTGTAACAGAATACCACAGGCTTATAAGAAACAAATTTATTTCTCACAGTTCTGGAGGCTGGGAAGGCCAAGATTAAGGCAC